CAGCTTTCAATAACTCACAAAATGTCTAGCTTTCTACAAAGAAATTTAACACTTTTCAATAACTCATAGATATCAAGCTTTCTACTAAGAAAATAATGTTTTTAAAGAACATACCAGATAATATCTAGCATTCTGCTAACAAAATAACACTTTTCAATAACTCATAGATATCAAGCTTTCTACTAAGAAAATAATGTTTTTAAAGAACATACCAGATAATATCTAGCATTCTGCTAACAAAATAACACTTTTCAATAACTCATAGATATCAAGCTTTCTACTAAGAAAATAATGTTTTTAAAGAACATACCAGATAATATCTAGCATTCTGCTAACAAAATAACACTTTTCAATAACTCATAGATATCAAGCTTTCTACTAAGAAAATAATGTTTTTAAAGAACATACCAGATAATGTCTAGCATTCTGCTAACAAAATAACACTTTTCAATAACTCACAAGATATCAAGTTTCTACTAAAATTACTTTGGTGAAGAGCTGTGTCATTGTTATATCATTAAATAATTGACTTTTAACTCTTGAAAGACAGTGACATCATAAAATTACTTTGGAGAAGACCTCTGCCATTGTGATATCATTAAATAATTGACTTTTAACTCTTGAAAGACAGTGACATCATAAAATTACTTTGGGGAAGACCTCTGCCATTGTGAGATCATTAAATAATTGACTTTTAACTCTGGGAAGATGGCAGTACAACAAAATAGCAAGCAAGATACAAAATTAATTAACATGAGCATAACTGTCACATGAGCATAACTGTCACATGAGCATAAGCCTCACATGAGCGAGCATAGGCGTCACATGAGCATAACTGTCACATGAGCATAATCGTCATATAAGCATAACTGTCACATGAGCATAATTGTCACATGAGCATCATATTATCATTTTTTTCTTAGTTATCAAATAAAATCTCTTAATATCAAATATCTTAATACTGTTATTGTTTTTTAGATGGTGATGATATTTGTAAAAAAAAAAAAATTCATGCATTTATTATTTTATCACATATGAAAGGGGCAAAACATCCATTCAGTAAATAAAAATTTCTTTTAAACCCTTTAGCTCACACTTTCCCAAAATTTTGTAATCTAAAATGTGGGGGTGTGGGGGGGGTGTGGTGGTAAATGGAAGCAAATTTTTTTTTAAATTTTGTGTAGAATTTTGAAAATAAACTTACATAAAATATTAATGAGGATAGTTAAAAAAAAAATATATACAACCATTCATATCTTTTCTTAAAAAGTCAATGTATCCAATGTTCTTATAATCACTTTTTCTTGCGCCCCGCCCCGGGGAGTGCTCATTGGGAAGCAAACAATAAGATTACTGTTCTCATAAAGTTTTATATCCATTCATCACAAAATATTATTTGAAAGGAAGAACAATGAACGCTAAACAAATAAAAAATCCTTACAAATGTTAAAAATAAATTCCATAATGAAATCCGTTAAAAAATATTGGTGATGTCAAACCGTTATCTGGGTGACAATGATACTAATACCTTTATGGATGGAATGGTATAACAATGTTGAGACATGTGTTTGTTGTTGTTTTTTTAAATCATTGAAAAATGACTGCAAACAAAAATTGCACAGCAGACATTTATGGCCGTGGTGAGTGACCGGTTAAAATGCATTGTCAAACGGAAGCTGCGGGACATTGTAAGGACATTGTGCACTCCAGACATGACATGACTGTGCATCTTAGCTGCAGTCTGCTTTAGCTATGCCATTCTTATTTCTTCAATGCTTTCTGCACCTTAAAAAGACTCAGTAATACTGATTGACAGCAACAAAAAATGAAATCACACAACATAAGGTGAAGGTATTTCGAGCAGTGGCAATAATTATATTCTACAAGAGTTACAATAAAAATTTTTTAATATTAACATTAATATAATGGGTGGGGTGGGGGGGGGGAGGAGGGGCTGTTTGTAAGATAATTTTGTTCACATTTTAAAAATTGCTTTGTAGAAAGTGACTTCAACAAAATTATATTTCGAGAATATATTTCAGACAGCAGTCAATGGAAAAAGAAATTGAATTGAGAATTTTTAAAAAAGTTTTTTTCCAAGTATGTGGGTAAAAATTCTTACAAGAATCGTCATAAATACATTATTGAGGCATTGAAAATAAAATAAAACACTGTTATTTAAATCTATAAGAATTAAACGTAATATACAGCTTTATCTTTTGCCAACATGACACTGTACCAAATTATCCCACAGTAGTGATTGGCATAACCTGGTCACAAAGTTAAGCAGAGATCTAAAATATCTTACATTGAAACTACTGCTTTGGAGATAAACACTTATTTCTTATAAGAAGAACCTCTTTATGAAATAATAAACTGGAGGTTTTACGACAAATTGATCACACTTTAAAAATTCATAAAATATTTTTTAAAAACCTTTGTAATTTATGCATATTAATTAAAAAATAGTTTTGAGTATTTTGTGCGTTAAAATAAAAAAAAGAATCACTTTTGTATACTTTGAGGATTCAGAAGAAAAAAATTGTTGGGACTAATTTATATCGTGTCTTCAAATGAGTAACATAGTGTTTATGTAGTTTTTGTGAAAAATAAATCCTAAACAGTTGTGTGACTTCTGTGTGAGTCTAGATTAAATATTTAAATTACTCAAGCCATTCTCAATACACCTCCACTAATTAACCTATGTCAATACTCCCAGTCTTTAAAGAAACAACTGAATTTATTTAAGATTGGAAGCGAATTAATGAGAACACTTTCTTTGAAAACACTTTCTTTTGTTATTAAAATTAAAACTTCAAAATGTGAAGGCTGTTGACAGGTGTGTTGATAAAAAAAAATTCAGCAAGATAAAAATCTTAACAATGATAAAAAAGGAATCCCAAAAATGAGCTTTTTTTTTTTTTTTAAAAAAAAGAATAAAACTTTTAAAATTATATATTTTGTTATTAACTGGAATGCAAATATAAACACAATAATTAAAAAAAAATAATGAATTCTGGTTTATGAAAGCCCAAAATGTAAATAAAAATACAGAATATTCTGCTGCGATGAAATAATACTGTAATTACATTATTTTCCTCAAATAGCTAATTTAACCATAGGGCCGGGTTGCTATTAATCAATAACGGCCAAATAGAGACTCAACTAAAATATTTTTAAGATTGGGTTGTGATAAATTTTGTTAGTGAAATTATTATCGATACCACCAATCATGCCTAGATATTGCCAGTGCATTATGCTGTGGTGGTTACTAGACAGAACCCACCTGTTTCAATATAAGCTATAAATATTTCAGAATTTATTGATGCAAAGAGCTAAGTCTTTACTGACTATTATTCCACTGAATCAATAGTCATGGGCTTCAAATGACTTTAATTACTAACTTTGCATCATTCCATTTGTAATGATTGTTTTTCTATTATTAGCCTCCTAATGCTGAACTATCAAATAATTTAATCATTACATCAGTTCCGATCCAAGTATACAATAACATTTTAAAAATCTTTTATTGGTTAAGTTTCAAACACATATTGTACATCAAAAAAAAAAATAATAAAAAGATGCTTGAATAAAAATAATTGAAATAAATCAAGTCGATTGGTTAAAATTTTGTTGCCCCCAAAGGTTTGCCGTAAAATATAAAAATGGTTAAGGTTTAGCAAATAATTATTAAAAATTTACTTCAATTATTTCTTTATAGATTATTTTACTTGAGAGCACAAATTTAGATTAAACTATTTATAAAAAGTAGAATTTAATGATCAGTTAACAGGCTCGTATAAGCTACGATCTGGTCTCTTATCTTTATCGCACATACAGGCGCAGCAAAAATAGAAAAATGAGCAACAACCACTTCCTGACACAGAAATTCCAACATCATCTTCAGGCGAGTGTCGTACCAAAACCTCGGCATAATGAAAAACCTGAAATAGAAATGAGATTGAATATATTAATTAACATATTCTTTAAAGCAGCACTAATTGAAAAAATTCAAAAGCTGTTTAATTAATATTTGATCTATATCATAGAGCAAAACATTTTTCTTCATTTTAAAATTTGTATCTGGTAATTGTGTCAAATTTAACTGAGAAAAAACATTTCCTTTCTATTTTTATGGTTTCCAAAAATTTAATGAAAAGCAGTTACAAAGTTAGGACTTTTTTTTAAAGAGTCATATATGGATTTATTAATAAAATGAAAAAATTTTAACAACCGCAGCAATAGAAAAACCCTTAACAATACAACTGTCAAGCCTTGGGCTGCCAAAGGAGTGGTCTGAGGATGAATGCAGGTCACAATTGTGACACATAGGAATTCAGATAGAAGTGGCTGTAAAATTAAGTGTTAAACTTAAAATAGTATTCCAAGAATTGACTTTTGTTGTGGGCATTTCAGAATGCACTGGCCTATTGAAACTCCAGAAATAGTCCAACCAAGAAGAAAAGCGTACCATATAAGTTCATGGTAAACCAGGGGCAAAAACATTTGTTTATTTTGAGAAGAAACAATGAAGACATTTGTCAAATATTTATAAACTAAGTCTCTGCAAAGAGGCTCATGGTCTGGAATACTTATCATCGTCAGGGCTTTGTTAAAATATTATGTTTTTTTTTTTAAACTTTAAAGAAAAGGGCAAACATTAAGGATCAACAATAGGATAGTACTATACCATAGCACTATAAGGGATGCGACAGTTAATTCTTTTTAATTCTTTTAAAGTATTTACTAAATTTTGGTCACCTTCTCAGATACATTCAGGACTATTTTTGTTGCGCCATGGGCAAATCTTTTTTCTTTCTCATAAAATATACATTTTTATTAATAAATATTTGATTACTTAAATAACACATTAATATCTGATAGACTTTGAGTGTTAAAAATAAGAAATATTTAGAATTAGTAAAAGTAGATTCCGGAGGGTGTCAACACTGGCAAAATGATCGAATCATGGAATGGCAAGCCCTACTTACAGCTAAACTTACCTGAAGGGAAATGTAACCTCTGCCTCGGAACAGAACCACCAACTTCTGCTTGTTATTTATAGCACAGTCCACGGGTTTGACGTCTTGAGACACCGATTTTCCCATGAGATAAGTCCGCTGTATGGGACAGCTCTGAAATCTGAAGCTCCTGTCAAACACTTGCACTCTGTAGTTATTGGCGTCACAGACGTACAGGCGGCGATTTTCATCTGTGGCCAATCCTAAAGGATAGAAAAGCTGGCCATGTTCACTGCCCAGCTCTCCATAAAAATCAAAGGCCATGTACTGAGGACCATAGAAAACTCCGAACCGGTGGTTTCCGGTATCTGCCACGACAACCTCACCGACTGCCGTCACTGCAATATGGGTGGGGTAAAACAGCCCATGATGAGATCTACTGGCCAGGTCAATGAACTGACAGTCATTGATGCTTCTTATCACAGAGTTGGCGTACGGCAGTGACAAAAAGAGAATTTCAGGCTCGATGACTAGGATACCGCTGACGTCCCTCATGTTTTTTTGATGCACACATTTGAAATCGGAAGGGTCTTTGTTAAACGGGGCCGTGTAAACCATGATGCCCTTGACGTCAGCTCTGCGGCCCATAGCACAAAAACGTTCTTTGCGGTTTTTAGGAGTCGGGGGGTAAAATGAAACATCAACGATGGGGTGATCAAACTTTTTGTAGCTGTACGGCGGCTTCTTGTGGGACTTGAAGAGAATGGCCCTGTTCCATGTGGTGTCAACCACAACTAAATGACCCGTCTGAGGGTTGACGGCAATTGAGTTTGGATGCCGAACCTCAAGGTTGTCATCGCCGTATCTGAGGTCATATTCATGCAGCTTCTCCACATAATGGGATATTGGGATGGAGCTGTCACTGAAATATAAATGTAATATAACATGTCTTTCATTAAAACTTCAATAAAAATTATATTTTAAGTTTGAAAGATTAGTGATTTAAAAGCCTATTTCAGCAACCAAAAAAAAATCTGCAGTTATACAAAAAAAATGAATTGTGCCAATCTGATAAATCAGTTTCCAAGTTGAAATGAGCAGATTACAAAACTGAAAGCAAGTGATGAAGATTATTAATCATGCTAATTTGTTATTGAATGGCCTTTACTCCGTTGGAAGCTGAAAAGGTAAAGATGGACTTGGCTACAAATTGCCACCCTCAGTCACTCTACACCCTGGCTCGGTATCCATGTCATCCACCTCAGAGTGTGGCAAATGGACCTCTCAATTGTGGCTAATTCGGTTTTGCCCAAAAGTTGTTTTTTTTAAAGTGTATATTATGGGTACAATTAAAAATTATTCTTAACCCATGATCTTTCACAACAGCCCATCCTTTTCAATTCTTTACTCTGAAATTAACTAGCACACACAGTAACAAGCTCTAGCACGCACAGTGTCAAGCTCTAGCACACACAGTAACAAGCTCTAGCACGCACAGTGTCAAGCTCTAGCACACACAGTAACAAGCTCTAGCACACACAGTAACAAGCTCTAGCACGCACAGTAACAAGCTCTAGCACGCACAGTGTCAAGCTCTAGCACACACAGTAACAAGCTCTAGCACACACAGTAACAAGCTCTAGCACGCACAGTAACAAGCTCTAGCACGCACAGTAACAAGCTCTAGCACGCACAGTAACAAGCTCTAGCACGCACAGTAACAAGCTCTAGCACGCACAGTGACAAGCTTGAGCATCTAATAATATAACTTTGTGTATTTAATCTGTCAAGCAAATAATCATATACCGCTATGGTACGGTCAGACAAGTTGGCACTACATGTTTTTAGCAACAAATTTCAACATTTTGTGATTTTTATTGTTTAATGAAATAATTTGACATAAGACCACAGTTTTATTGTTACTTCGGGTGACAGCTTCCTAACATGATACACAGGTAGCATGTTTTTTTTAGTAACCATCATTACAAGATTTATCATGTTTTGTTTTGTTGAATATCTGCTAATCAAAGTTTTTTCAAAGAGAACTTCTTTAGACTTGTCAAAAGAACAATTATTCTGACCTGAATCTCATTTTCTGTAAATCCATAGTGTCATCAACCAGTGCTTCTCAAACTTTTAGGTTTTATGGACCAGCAAAAATTATTCAAAATTCAGCACTGACCATAGCCCAATGTATTGCTTTTTGTTACTCTTAGATCACCTTACATTGTTTGTCTGCTGCGGACCGACCATAGGGAACTTTTGTCTAATGCTGGTCCGCTGACCACCACTATGAGCAGCACTTTCTTAAATGACATTATCTTCCTAAATTCACAAGCAATTACAATTTTTTTTTATCCTTATCTGGGTACCCTTCTTACTTCTTACATAACACAATACAAAACCACAAAACAAATAATTACTTTTCAAAAACTATAAACCTGATACTTACTCTTCCCTTTCCACATCCTCAAGATTGCCATTAAATTCAAGCACTAAGTGACTCCTATGACTCTGCAATGCTGCATCAAACATGATGACAGACGAGGACACAGCTGACGACAGACTTTTTGAAACAAAGTTTTCTGACAAAGAACGACTCAGACCAAACGTAACACTGGACTGGGTGGATGGATCGGCTTCTTTCCCAATATCTGGCTGCGCTGTTGGATCTGCCGAACCGACCATGCCTTTGCTGGTTCCGTCCAGGCTACCGGACGGCTCTGCTTTCCTGTCAGCGCCACACACTGTTTGCTCCGACTGGCTCCTGGGAACCTGTGTATTCCCATCAAACAGCTGACTACTCTTTCTCTCATCATCCTCAGGTGCACAGGATGTGTTTGCTGTGGGAGCAGATCACAAGATGAGGAAAATGACAAGTTGGAGATAGCAACAACAAAAAACAACTAGCATGTCAAATAGAGACAAATGCAGTCCTTTAATTATTATACAAATATTGACAGATGACAACAAAATGCAAAAAAAAGGAATTTTTTTTTTCTTCATTAAATTGAAAAGGAATTTAAAATTTTTATTTAAACAGTTTTCTTAAAAATTAATGATAATGTAAATGAATCTCGATGTTTTCGAATGTATTTTTATCATGATCATTAAGTGATCATTAAGTAATATGAAAACATGCATGCCAGTGCTAGAACTAGATGACCCAAAAGTTTCCATTGGATTTTGGCTTTTTATTTTATACCGAAAGATTAAAATTATGTGAGGTTTTTTTTGGCATCTGAAAGGTCTTCTTTACTTTAACGAATTATTATTAAAAAATTATAATTAAAAATGAGTAAATCTGGTGCTATCTATGTGAGCATTAAACAGAACTTGTATTAAAATTTACTAAAAGTTACCAATAAAAAATAATGGAAATATAAATAATCTGACAATTTATTTTTTTTTACAAGCAGGGGATAAGCAGAGTATGTCAAATTTTCATCGTAAATTAAGAATCAATTGAGTTTTATAGACCATCAAAATCTTTTCCAAGCCCTTGCAATGTTCGTCAGACTCAACCACTAATCTAATCTCTAAAGAAAAACAGCAGACCAACAAGCCAGAGATCATTAGGATTTCCCTAATATACCCCTCTTCTCCCCAGCCTGAATAGCGCTCGTTAGTCGGGCCACGAAGCGGCACGTCGGATGTATTGTGCCGCTGAGACAGCCCCATCCACTCAACCACAAAATTATTTTACTAGCTACATAGTCTGCTCTCACCATTAACTCACTCTAACATTCGCTAACCAAAGTGTTTCAGACACTCTTTAAGTGATCTTACCAGGGTTGCCAACTCAATAAAATAACATTTACTGACAAATACAAGAACTCTCAACAAAATATACGGACAAAAACAATTTTTTTACAGACACATTTAACATTAAATGTTGACCTTAAAACAAACGAATATGAAGCATAATCCAAGCATTGTAGCTAAAAAATGTAAAGTATCCATATGAGTACGTCTCTATTACCATGCTCATATTTTATAACGTTAGTTTATTGTATGACATTCATCATCAGTGAAAGTGTTTAATTCCTCCTGGTTATGATCATACATAGAAACATATACACTGTCAATCATAATTTATGCGTAATTGTGACGCAACGACTAACGATCTGTCTAAACAAGTCCATCTTGCCGCGATGCGTCTCGCCGCGCGAGCCTAGCTGTCCAGAAAGCTCTTACAGTTTATTAAAAGAGCGCGGGATGCCACTAAAACAAATTAAAAAATAAAATTTAAATCAAGAAAATAGATATCACAAACATGATTTACTGTTTTTTTTAAACGTTGAGATTCCACGTTTTGTCGTTTTTTTACGGACCTCTTAATTTTTTAACGGAAATTTACGACAAATCTTTACGGACTGTCCGTAAATTTACGGACGGTTGGCAACCCTGTATCTTACCACAGCATAAATTCTGACGACATGCAAAGGTAAACCCATAATAAATTCAGACTGTTTCCCTTACATAATTTTTTTTTTCGAAAAGAAATATCGAGCTACAAAATTTAAAATATATATAACATCGTAGCATAGAATATAGTGATGAAACTATACACTACATACAATGTTTTCTAAATACAAATAAATGAACAATAGAACAATGAACATATATGATGCTCAGATAAGCAAAAAATATAAAATGAGAAATATCAAAAGTTCAACATAACAATACTTGTAACTACAAAGATCCTATAGGTTTCTATTGCAAACCTTTTTATGGATAATGTCAGAGAGACTAATCCTTGACTCTGTTGTTTTACATATCCACAATGTAATTTCACTCTTGCAAGGATACATTTTTCACAATGTATTTTCACTCTTTCCAGGATAAATTTTATAGAAGATTGGCTTTGTAATATCTATTTTTTTATTCTATCACTGAGAGCTAGTAAAAGGATAATATAGCCTAATGTGTACAACACGCAAACAAACTCATCTCCCTTTTTACATTAGGTTTACTCGTCCCAACAAATAAATTACGGCAAGCTTGACCAAAGCAGCAAGAATATGCCCACAATAAAAATAATTTACAGCATGTTACGTGTACTACAGTTTATGAGAGTGGATGAAAATGTACCAGACGGTTAACATCTCTTGTACCTGTTAAGTTTGTTTTAGATTCTACGGGACAATACAGCCCGAGGGCCTGATTTTGTCCCAGCAAGCAGTGAAGCCTCTCTTTGTAGGTTAACTGAAGCAGCCGCTTATTGGTAGGAAGGGTAAGCAAGCTATCAGCAAGCAAGTAACAAGGGTAATTGCAGACAGGACAAGGAAATAAGCAACCCCAACTAAAGAAATTGTACTTGTTGGGTTTTTCTTTTTCATGTGCAGCTACCTGAAAATGGAAAGTCAAGGATGAAAACTCTAATTTCTATTTTTTTTATAGGAATATGAAATAGA